GTCTATTGGTGGGGAGCCACACCTGCTGGAAAATGGGCCCAGCGTCCCTTGAACATTCGTTGGAACACATCCATCGGAAACACAACTTGCATGAAAGACCATTATACTGTCATTATCGCCTTATCTAGACTGAAACTTGTCCCAAATGCAGGCATAATGACCGTACGTTCTATTCGGGGAATACGGTAGGCACTACTAGGCAGTGACTGTGTCAAAGGGCTACCCACAGAGTGAGCCCGGTCACCAAATTCCAATTTCCCTCTCTTACGAAGCGCATACGAGGTCCCAGTGAACCTTTTTTCTTTCTTCGGAAAATTGCATCTGTACCCCACTTAGAGATGGGATTACCAGCTATACCCACTCCTAGCGCCCAACTTGCATCTATTCCGGGACCGCGTTCAACTTTGCATGGTACCCTACTTTTCCCCTGTGCGCAATTGTAGGCATACCCATTCGCTGCGGGTACATCCACAATTTTGCCATCCCGTTCGTGGGGATGCGCATAATTCTTTTGTCCAAAACTGAGGGCCAACCCGCAATTTTGCCATCCCGTTCGTGGGCATGGGCATACTTCTGTTGTCCAAAACTGAGGGCCAGCTGGCCCTCAGTTTTGGACAACAGAATTATGCGCATGCCCACGAACGGGATGGCAAAATTGCGGATGTACCCACAGCGCTGGGCAAGCCTTGGATGGGGGGTGTCAAAAAGTGCTCGCCCACTCACTATTTTGTTTTTTTTCACTTTTAACTTTTTGTTTTCACTTTATTTCGGGGCCTAAACAATTTTATTATTTTTTGAAAACTTTTTAATGAGTTATTGATCATGTAAACTACATATCTGTAAATTTTCAGGGCATTTGTCAATGCCAAAAAATAATTAAAAATCTACAAAGATGGCGGTGTTGAAAAGGTGCTGGTACACTCACTCGTTTTAATTCTCTTTTTATTTTTTCTTATTTTTATCATAGTGTTTATTTTCTGTATTTGTTTTTTAATTCAAATTTGGTAAAGAATTTGGATGTAGTGCCCAGGGGCCTGGACCCATTCGCGAAGTATTCTACGACGTGTGACACAGTTTATGGTTTTTTGGAAAATACAAAGTGATTTTTTATTTGCATGAATGGATCTTTTTCTGATTTAAAATGAATTGAAATAGCACATAAAACTATGAAGAACAGCTGTGCACCCGAATTCATGGGTTGGTACGATCTCCTTCACGTAAGTCTTCATAGTGATGTACCGTGGCAATAAATGTGTCCACGAACACATTCCCGAGGATGAACAAGTAACGGGTATTGGGATAAATTCCTCGCGATGTATCTCATGATGCCTTTAGCAGGCCATCGGACAGACGCGGAAGCATTCCTGTCAGATGCACCACAATATTCGAATTTCACATTTCAAGTTCTATTTCTCAGAGCCCAAAAACAAAAAAAACGAAGTCTGGAAATCAACCCCCCCCCTTTAGAGCCCATAAAATCCCGACTTCCCGCCCATGCAAAGCCACGAGCTATCATGTCCAAGTTAGTCCAACTTCGTTTTTTTTTCTTTTTTCGATGCATCTCATTGGACGGGAGGTGGGCATCTTTACAGTCCCCGCTCGGAAACTACCAGGCCGTCGAGATCCGATCTATTCGACGGCTGTACTGAGTCACTCGATGCCACACGTGATCGTGGTAGAATACCTTGCTAGTGGGTCCAGGCCCCAGGCAAATGTTGTTTAGTTTATTTTTCTCCATAAAATTTTTGTTTTTCGGAATTTTTTGAAAACGTTTTTTTTTTTTCTTTTTTCTTTTTTTTTGGTCTGCGTTCGGCCCGAACGGCCGGACACCTTCCAAAGGGGGCCCGTATGTTCGGGGCCGAAAGTCCCGAACGCCGGCAACCCTGTATATATATATATATATATATCGGTGAAACTCCGACGAAACAGTTTGTCACAGCCCCTCGTTTGTTGTCCTCTTCTCNCTCCTGATGAGTCGGTGAAACTCCGACGAAACAGTTTGTCACAGCCCCTCGTTTGTTGTCCTCTTCTCCCTCTCTGCCTACGGTTTACCGGCCAGTTCTATTTGACGATATATAAGTGATAATCCACCTTAACCCTGGCTGCCCGCCAACCTATACCCTGAGGTGGGCAGCAACCACTGCCCTCAAGGTACCTGTGACGAAAAGCAAAGCAGACTATCACTCACCCACACCAGATGGAAAACTCTACGGACTGTCCGTTCACACCCCATCACAAGCAAACAAAACACCCACGAAACAAAGAAAGGTCTGTCACAACCGAAACATACACTCCAGCAGCTGGCACTAGAGGCACAGCAGATCTGCCCGGTAAACCATCGGCAGAGAGGGAGAAGAGAACAACAAATGAGGAGTTTCACCGACTCATCAGGAGGCTGAACCCTAAACCATAGCTTAAAGTGCATGCACTAAATAACCTGGATTAGACAGGAGGAACAGGAGGAAGGAGAGGAAGTGCCTACTATCTGCATACCTGAACTGCAACATTGGGGCCTCAGCCACACTTCACGCATCCATCCTGATACCCCCATAAGTTCAGATATATGCCAAAACGCCCCTAAAAAATGTGAATAGAGCCGAATGCCCCTCTGCCAAAAGGAATCTGTTGTGAAATTCCCCTGGTGTCAATTGGACCCCCCCACTCTGCAATATGTGAAATTCCCCTGGTGTCAATTGGACCCCCCCACTCTGCAATATACCCCCACGGGCCGTCCAACTTTGCAACATGCCCCGGTACGTGCCAACTTCTCCAAGGCCCGATTGCAGAAGGCCAAGGCCCAAACGGCGAGGTCCAGATTGCAAATTTGCGGGCGGGCCTGACAGGGGGCATAACACAGATTTCTGCCCAAAGGGAGTTCCGCTCTACCCACATCTTTGAGGGACATTTTGACTTATGGGGGTATTCTGCAACCTATTCCTACCCCCCCCCCCCCCAAAAGAAATTAAATTAAAACGAAATGGAATAAATGGTACCGCATGCAAGCTATGAAGGGTTGGACACGTAGGATTTTTCAGGTCAGGCCATAGTCAGCGGTAGCTGGTCTCGTTGCCCCTTAGTTGCAGGGGCTGACGTGGAGGAACGACATGGCCAGCTCATCGGAAGCGGAGACGACGCTGCTCTGTGCAGTGATGGCTATGGCGACGGCCTCGTACTTGGGAGTGGTGGGAGAACGAGGGTGGCCGGAGATGGTGGCTTTGAGCTTCCTGTCCCTGTCAGCGTATATGGCGCAGCGGCTCCTTGATCACGGGTGCAAGGACGGATATTGTCATTACTACAAGTTAAGGCAAAGGTGCGTCGTCGGGGATAGGTGGGAGTTCCTTCTGTTTGACTATGCCCCGTGTTCTCTTTTCGTCTCGTCTGTTCTGCGTGCGTGCGTGCGTGTGTGTGTGTGTGTGTGTGTGTGTGTGTGTGTGTGTGTGTGTGTGTGTG